ATGCCCCATAAGAATATAGCCTCGTGGAATGCAATGTATTAGTGCATTCGTGAAGTTTGGTGAATTTGCTTAGTGCCAGGAAATTGTTTGATAGTATGCCTGGCAAAGATGTGGTATCTTTTACTACTATGATTGATGGTTATGTTAAGGCTGGTGACATGGCATCAGCGAGGTTCCTGTTCGATCAGTCNTTTCTAAACCCATGCTTTTATTAAGGGTTAAGGAATGTAAAAGACCTATCAAGTAAAATAACATGAGTTGACTATTCGACATTTACCTGATGCTATAGAAGACCACATTTGGTCTAATGGGCAATGCACAGAGTCATTGCTTATCTAAGCATTATAAGCAGCTGCTTCTTACTCGGCCAAGTGCAGAACAACAGTAGAAGCAAAAACGAACGGATTAACCAATAATTCCAATTAAAAGAAAACTCAGACCCATGTCATTAGCATAAATCAGTCATTAACATATAAACACCAACAAAACAAATCTAATAATCGAAAGCATGAATCCCGGAATGCAACTCAATTTCAGCAGCATAAAAAACTATAAACTTATACAAACTCAGTACATTCAGAGATATATAAGAACATTTACCTTGAATTTATCACAAGAAGAAGGAAATGAACCCAGATAAAGGTCAAGAAAATCGGAGAGAGTTCAGCTACGCAATACAACAGCCTCAGCGTTGAGCCACAGATTCAACAGTCAATCAGCAGTTTCCAGATCTGATTTTTTTGATTTTTTCTTTTAATTTCAAACCTGCTTCCTCTTTCTATTTTCTCTTCGTTTTCAATTTCATCCCTTTGTCGTTCTCATCAATCCCCTCTTATAAATGCATGTGCGTTTGATTTTCTTTAAAAAAAAAGATGGTGGAGGAGTTGCTGTTGAAGATGGTGAGCGAAGAAGCAGGAAAAGGGGAGCCTTTTTGGTGCGCCGTTTTTTTGCTTTTGTAGAGGTGAAGTCCTTTTTTCTGATCTTCTTCTCTAAGAGAATAGCGCCGTTCTTCGTTTTTTTCTCCAAGGGTGGGGGTCTGATAATGTGTTTTCCTCTTTTTGTTCAAGAGCTGCTCGGTTTCTTGGTTATGGGAGGAGTGTTTTGAGAAGACGAAGGAATAGAGGAGAAGGGGGGAACATGTGCCGTTTTGTGTTTGTGAGAGGGGAGGGGATTTTTCTTAATCTTCTGATAATGTCCCCTAGGTCTAGGAGCTAGGTTTTTTAAAAGGGGATGAGTTTTGGGCGGATGGGTGCAAGTGTATTTGGGCTGGGGTTGGTTCGAATTTGTGTTTGGATCTGGGTTAGCTTTGGGGAAGAATTGGGCCAATTTGGTACAAAGAATTAACCCAAATTCATATTAAAACCCCTTTTTTTTTCAATTACCTCTTTTATTACTTTTCCTTTGTTTTTCTTTTTCTTTTTCTTTAATTAAAATCCTAAATTAATCCAAATTGTAAAATTAAGCTAATTATCTAACTATAATATTTATAACAATTACTTGATCATAAATTAAAAGGGAAAATCATCAATCTAAAAATTAAACGGTAAAAATGTAAAAATGAGCCATTTTTGTGATTTTTATTTTTAATAAAATAATTAATTAACTAATTAATCCTAAAAATATAAAAACAAAAATCTAAATGCAATGCATGGTATTTTTGACATTTTTTTAATGATTTTTTTAAACAAAATTAAAACGTGTCACAAAAATACAAACAATTAATAAAAATCCTACAAAAATCCTATAAAATGGCAAAAAATCGAAAAAAATCTATTTTCTTGGATTTTATAGGAGTATTCATATAGGGCAAAAATCACCAATCCGTTTGTATCTTGTGAAAAAATAAAAAT